TGAATGAAGGCCTCGAAGTGGATGCAGGTCTTGGAGCTCTTCCGATCTGACGTGGCCTCGGATTGGAGTGGTTTTAGCGCTTCCGGGTCTCGGGGTCTTGGACTTCCTTTGGAGGTGCTGTTAGGGTTCTACAAGGATTCCTGCGGTTTAGAGCTTTCGGGCTTTCAGACTTCGGATTTTTAGAACATCGAGTGCTGCAGGGTGTGGAGACCCCTTCAGGTTTTGGGGGTTGGGATGTCGAGGACTTTAGGTAACCGTTAGAGATATACGTGTGAGTGCGAGCTTCAGCAGCATCCAGGGGTTCAATTCGGATTTTCAGTTGAGTGGTGGTGTTGTGGTGAAGGGAGATGGCTGTATTTGGCCCTGGGAAGCCATGTGCGGCTGGTCTACATCATGCTGCGCATGTTCATATACAACTAATTAGCATTTTGACTCCCGATTGGCAGGGTTCCTCTGCGAGCCCTGACAAGCCGCATCCTTGCAATTTGCATCGCTATTTAAGCTTCTGTAGGGACAGCCCGTGAGCCATGTTCGGATTGAAGAAGGTGACGCAATGCATTCTAGCTGCTTTGTTTCTGCTGGCCTTACATTCGATGTGGTCCGGCAGGGAGCTCTTGAAAATGCAAGGCGTGACCGAGGACACCGTTGAGGCCGCACCATTCCCCAACGAAGCAAGCAGAAGCACAGCTCCGCCGCCCCAGTGTTCGTCAGATTACTTTGCTCCGAGGCAGGCCAAGCTGTTCGCAGGACCTTTGTTTGACTCCAGGAAAAACAAGCAGCGCTACAAGGCCTTCCGGGCTGAGTTTGAAATGTACACAGGCCGGGATCCACTCCATACGTTCAATGTTGTGAAATTTCAAACTGGTGGGATCCAGTATACGGACCTGCATAATTCGCATGACCACAAGACGCTCGTTCTGGGGTGCAAGGACAAAGCTTTGCGAGAAAGCACGAATTGGACCAATTGGTACTATGCCCCGACAGGTCCAACAGATTTTTCAACATGTGAGACCATCATCCCTGGAACTGCAGTGTTCTTTCGTGGCATGTCTTTTGGAAGGTTCATCTACGGCGCCCTCCTGCACGACATACTTCCTCCGGTACTTTGGATGTACGATAACGAACCAAATGCCACACCAGTTTTCGAGATCGAGAAATCTGGGAAAGTCGTCGATTTCATGAAGTGGTTCGACCCAGCTCTTCATTCCAGAGCGCTTTATGTCCCAGCTGGTAAGACTGTCTGTGCAGAATCACTGCTGGTGATGGTGCCGCATCGCGACATCGTCCACCCCGAAATCCTGCGAAGTGCACAGCTGTTTACACATTTCCGGCAGC